ATATATAGGAGTGTGTATATGTTAATCCCAAGCTCCTAATTTATCCCTGACCCCGCCTTTCCCCTTTGGTAACCATAAGTTTGTTTTCTAAGTCTGTGAGTCTGTTTCTGTTTTGTAAATAAATTCATTTGTTAAATATCACACCCAGAGAAGAACAACAGTCAAACTGATGTGTTTCCATTTCGATAGAAAGTTGCTTATGCTCACGTGACAAAAACCTGCCATTTAGCCTGTGTGTCCTGGAAAGCACACGCCGTTTTCTATGTGTGGCCGAGAGAGGAGTCACCTGCAAGAGCCTGTGGCCTGTAGGAGACACAATGAGTGATTGCTTATGCTTCTGAGAAGCCAGGGACTCGGGGGTCCCAGCCAACATCAAGGGTGTAGAAACAAAAGCTGCGTTTGAACCCTTGCTGCCGAAAGCAGTCTTCCTGCTTCCTTCGGAAAGCACTCATAAAGCCAACGGCAGCACCGGGGTCCCTGGCTGTGCAGTGCCCTCGTCAGCAGCATCCACTTACTCAGTGCGTGAAAAACAATTACCTCACTTCTTACGTGTTCTTCTTGGTAAAGAAAGTACCCCACAGCTTGGGCCACAGTAACACCTCGGGGACTTATTAACTGACAAGCTGACAGGCTATCAGATGACGAATTCATTTGGTGTGCAGTTGCCTAGTTGTCTGATTTGGATTTCAACTTCCCTAAGAAAATGATCCCCACTTCTGCTATGCCAAGGAACCCGTTTGTTCAGACACGTTGAGTTCGCCATCTCTGCCAGTTTTCACAAAACAGGCTGGTTTTGCTGAGGAGGTGCATTTCACAGAGGTAGGAAGCACAGAAAGCAGCCTGCCAGCCTCTCCGTGGGAGAGCGTTCAACTCCATCTCAGCCACAAAGGAGAACAAAGAGCGAGGTTGCTGTAATACGCTGGTGCCAGAAGAAATTTTAGGGTAGCTCAGCCCCCGCCGCTGCTTAGAACTAAGGTGGCTCGTGTGTAGGTGGGGGCATTGAGAGGTGAGGAGGGCACATTCCCTCTGGATCAAGTGCTCCCATTTTTTTTTTTGCTGCCGAGAGCTCTTATAACAAAGATACACGTGGCTCGGCTTTGGCTTTTGGATCACTCAAGCCCAGCTTCTGAAGAGCCCCAGAGACACGGTTAGTTACATGCATGATGCTGAACTGTACTTTTCTTAGGGTTGCTCACGTATCATCAAATACCATCGCTGTGAGAAACGATGTGAAGAACCTTATGATCACAATGAAAAGCAAAACTCTAAGTTTTCCATGTGAAAGAAAAGAAAGAAGATTCAATGAAAAATGAGTTTGAACGCTGCGATCGTTAGATTCATTTTAGTGCCTGTGCCGTGTTATATTTTGTAACTGCCACAATGGTGACAGCAGTTTTACTTTCCTGCTGACTTGAAAGTCACCGTCGGAGTGATGCCTTCATGACAGCACGTGTCCACTGCCTTGCCGGACAATCTGGGTGACATCCCATCATCCCGTTGCCTTTATAATGATCTGATCTAGGAGTGTGGCTCTAGAAATCACCTGAAAGGAAAACAAATGGGCCAATCATCAAGCAATCTTCAGTGACTCAGTGTAATAAGCCCTCCATTAGATGCAAAGATGAGAATTCTTATGTGATCCTAAACAGGCCCTGATAGCACATTTCTTCAGCATCTCAGGTTAATGTTGTAGCTGCTGTGATGTAGTCAGAAAATAGATGTGCTACTTATCCACCTACACCATTGTGAGAGTTCGTGACTCAGCCTCCATCTCAGGTTTAAAGGATACACCTACATGCTGCTGATAAAAACAGCATGGATTAAGGTACCCGTATTAGGAATTAAGTGGCACTGCCACCCCAGGGGTAACTAAGAAGGCTAACAGATGCCTTTGCTTATTACCAAAGTAATTCGTTCGTGAGAACGAAATGCATTTGAAAAAATGATGATCCGTTAGTGACGAGGTCTACAAAAAACAGGGCAAGAGAAAAACGACCAAATTCCTCTACTGGAGTGTGGGACAGATAATGATGTGGAGAATTTCAGGTTGCCATGGAGATGTTCTCTGGCTTATTGCCTTCGAGGCTGCACCCCACCTCTCTCTCTTTGAAACTCAAAATATGAATGCAAGTGGGGGGGGGGTGTTCATTTCTCTTCTACCATGTACCTAAAACTACAAGGTGGGGAAGATCAAAGAGGTCTACAACAGGGCCCCCGCTGAAAACGGTCCAGCTGCAAAGTTGCATACATGCAGTGACTGTAGCCCAGGACAGCAGAAGGTAATTAAATGCCTGGAAGTGAAGTGTAAACAAGAGGTGGTATCTGAGATCAGGAAAGACATAGCTGATCGTGGACCAAAATTACCGAGAAGGCCTTATGGCCTAAGAATTTGCGGGACAGGTAACATCTGGCTCATCAAAGCACTTAATGAACGAGCAGAGAGGTGAGTGTTCCAGGAAGGACGGAAAGGGTGAGCAGAGCTTCTAAGGCAGCCGTGGCACGTCAGCCAGACAGTGAGGACACCTCTCTGGCTGTGGCTGAGGGACGTGGTGAGTAAGTGGTGCGGTTAGAGGGTTAGGCAGGATGATTGGAGACCTGAACTGCGACTGGAATTCATAGGCCCTGGAGATGGATTTTAGGTCTGTGAGTAGGATGGTGATATAATGAAAGCCACGTTTTACAAACATTGGTCAAGGCTTAAAGCTCAGCATAGATTGGGTGGGTGTGAAACTAGAGGCCAGGAGAGGTGCTGAAAGCCTAGACTTGGTGGATATGGTCATTGGGGAAAGAAAGGGATGTTTACGAGGGAGCATTCATAGCATTTGATAACCGGGGGAGAGATGGATGGAGATGCCTGAACTCTTGTCCTGAACAAATAGGCTCCAGGACCCCATCTGAAGCTCAGGAGTCAGATCTGGGTTTGGGCAGAGGTAGGTCTGGTCTTCTGCTTCGGGGCATTCAGCAAAAGGACAAACGAAAGATATTGCAGAGGATTTTTAAGGCATGAAACTCTTCTGTGTGATACTATAACGGTGGATACGTGTCATTATACATTTCTCAGAACTCACAGAATGTGCAACGCCAAGAGTGAACCCAAATGTAAACTGTGGACTTTCGGTGATGATGATATGTCAGTTTCGGTTTATCGATTGTAACAAATGTGCTGCTCTGGTGGGGATGTTGGTAGTGAGGGAGGTTGTGCACATGCAGAAGCACGAGGTACACAGGAACTTTTCGTACTTTCCACTTCATTTTGCTTGGAGCCTACAACTGCTCAGAAAAATTAAGTCAGTCCATTAAAGAACAAAAAACAAGAACAAAAATAATGTAAATTGCCACAGTCGGCATCAAAGACCCCACAGATAGCCAGTATGTGTTCAAAGGTCAATATGTGGACAGAGAAGAATAAACCATCGTGAAAGTCAACTAAAACGCCATTCAAATGGAAGAAGCGTGAACGTTGAGGAAATAAACTAGAACAGGAAGAGCCGGTCAGAGCAGGGCCTTCCTTTGAAGGAAACCTCAGGCCTTACCCACCAACGAAGACCCATCATGATGAATGAAAGAGTCCAGGCCTGCATGGCAGGAAAAATGGTGAAGGGCTCATGATCGAGAAACAGAGTTTCATTATGCACATTAGGGAAATCCTGCAGCCACGTTCCTCATTTCTTTGTTGGAAAAGTTAAAAATTCCCAGCATGTTACCACAGTACTGACAATATTTTATGCGGAAGAAGAGACAGAAAACCAAGGTCTTTTTCTTGCCTCTGTGATTTGTGACTCAAAATTAAGTATTTGCTTTGATCCTGGTTTGTTTATTTGTTTGATTGATTGATTAAAACCATTCAACTGAGGATTATAGTTTTGGATGGTAATGTCATTGACATGGTATGTGTGATTTTTCTAAGCCTTTTGACCCCTTAGGATAAAAGGACGCTCTGACTCCCTAATACTGCATTGGGGAAAAGACGCCTTAGCCGAAAGAAGGCAGTTCAAAATAAGTGCCTTAAATAGGTTAAACAGTTCATGATTAATATTGCTACTTACATCTTATCTCCCATTCAGGGGGTCCTGGCTTATGGTGTGTGTACATGAATAGGTCAAGTTTACTGAATATATAAAGACCCATAATGCAAAACAAGTTTATGCTGATGGTACCTAGAGTATGTAGATTTAAAAAAATCTGTCCAATGAAGCATTTAAAGTTACTGTCTGATGAGTGCTTTAGTGTAACTTGGGGTCATGTCACACACTCACATCCATCTCTGGATGAATTCCCTTCACCTCCCGGCAGAGTCGGCGCTGGCCAGGGTTATTGTTTTAATAATGCGCATGTCTGGTGTGCATGTTTACCAGCCAGTTAATCAGAACTAGAGAGAATACATGCCATGTTTGCACTGTGACAAGGAAGACATCATTTGACAATTAACTTTATTACAACTGGAATGTAATCATACAGCAGCACCTCTTTTCGTTTTTCATTGCAAAGCTTTAAAATAATTAGATGTAGAGATACAAGCAACTGTGGGTACCATTTATGCATACAAACAACACTGATTTTCATAAGGGTACAGAAATATACTCACCTGTACATATCCACACAATTACTATGAGATACCTTTGCCATCCTTACATTTAAAAGGGATTGTTTTGTGTAAATAACCTGTGAAATAAGATTTTGCACTTGTTTTCTTAACCGTGCAATAAAAAATCTGATTTGCAAATTAGGTACTGGGGATCCGTGTTAAAAATCACTGTAAATGTATGTATTTATTTGCATATATTGAGTGTGTTTTGGATTGCTAACTTAAGAGAAATACAATAGTAGTCTTTTACATATAGGCTATAGTAGTTTGGAAATGCAAAAGGAAAGGAAAATACTTGATTCCGTCTTAAGAAGGGTCTTGAAATTGTGCTTCAAGTGTGAGCAAAGGAAAGAATATCTTCCAAAGATCTTGCACTTGCACAGTAATGACGTTTCATATCACCCTCTCCTCATAGGCCACGCAGTGCAGATTATTTTATGCAAGAAGCTAAGCGAATGAAGCATAAAGCAGATGCAATGGTAAGACCTTTTCTCTCCAGATCCTTTCCTCCAAATGACGTTTGTACCACAGCTTCATCACTGGGGCAACATAGCTAGGGTCATTATAAAATCTATTACAAGGATGGCTGGGTCTGTTAAAGGCAAAAATGTTTATGTAATCCAGTGCTCATCGCCCAATAAATTATGACCTCAACCAATAATGTCTGACTGGGAGGAAGCCCTGGATAAACTAATATTTCAGTTTAGACCTAACGTTTGAATAGGAACCAGAGGCAGTGGAGTCAGTGGGTGGTAATAGTTTTTTTCCTTAAAAAGAAAACACCCAAGTTTGCATATTTCTCCCTTGTTAGCCTGGCCAACACATGGCTTGGTCCCAGGATCAAATCCCTTTTCAAAAAGACTTGTGTTCTTCATATGTACCTGCCAGAATGAATTTTTCCTATGAATCTGGACAATCCAGAAACTATTTCACTGCACATAAGACCCTGAAGTTGTAGGATTTGATGTTTTCAGAGAGTAACTTTTCTGACTTGGATAATTTATTTGAGAAAGCTTAAAGCCTTCAGGCAAGAGTTCTGGTTTTTTCTAAAAGAAAAGTTTTTTCTAAAAGAAAAACACTTCTGGTTTTTTCTAAAAGAAATCATATGTTGTTCTGTCAGAAGATCTCATCCAAAGGGAGTCTCTCCTATCTAGTAATTCTAGTTCTGCTCCCCTCCAGTGCTCATAAGTGAAATCAGGGCGCTGGAGGTGAATATGGCATTTCAAATGACCTTCAGAGTATTATTCCAGGGTTGAAGATGCCTAAGCCGTAACTGTACCCCGCCTCCCAATGCTACTGATTTTGCCCACCAAGCATGCATTTATATGAAGCTAACTGCCTAGGTCCACTGGTGTACAGAGAAATAACCACAGGGTGTCAGAAAATACAGAAGGGAAATAGGAGGTAGAGTTTCTGTCATCACAGTCACGCAGTCTGATGGAGAGTTCTGGTCACCCGAAGGAACCGATGCATGGTCACATTGAATTTTAAAGCAGAATGAAATTTCCTGCCTGAATCATCCAGTGTTTACCAGGCTTCCTCAGTCAGTGTCATCTTGCCCAACCTGGCCTTTCCCAGCGATACTCTGCTCCAGCCATGTTGGCCCCCTGCTGCCTCTAAGCACACCTGACTCGTGCCAGCTGGCAGGTCTTTGCACCTGCAGAGCCTCACACTCACACTCTCACGCACACCCACACCTTCAGTGTCCTCCCCAAATTCAGCCAGATCATACTGTTCCTTCCCAGTTTCCTCCCCAGCCTCCCTGTAGCCCCATCACTTGCTCCCTTCCTGCCCTCTCTTTGGCATTGGACTCCTTGCTTTGCATTCGGTTAGTTAATCACAGACTACCTTGCACTTTGAGCTATCTCGTGAGTGCACATTTTTTCTCTCCAAATATATGTCCCTGGAAGGAGCTTTTGTGTGTCAAGTACAGACCACACAGAATCAGGTGCTTTAGCAAATACTTATTGAAAGAAATGACTTCCTTAATCTGAAAGCACTGCCAAGAAATATTGCTCTATAGCCTCTTAGGGTTATAAGCTGTTTAAAATTTTGACTTGCTAATGCAGGAGAATTCTGCTCTACATTTCCCTTTCCTGAGGTGTCATGAATAATGAGAGGTTTTTTAAGAGGGAAGACTTAGATCAGTAGTTAAGAGTATCTGTGTAATTCTGTTTTGATTGATGAAGGAATGTTTGAAAACTGCGGAGATGATGCAATTCAAATCTAGAATGTGTCATGATCCACCGAGAGGAAGAATGCATGGAACCATGCATGAACCTGATGTGTACGTTTAGATTTATGAGAACCTAAGAACGTAAAGCTGATTCTTGGTTATCCTCACTGATATGGGTAAAGATTAACATAAATTTAGGGACCTCCTATAATCCCAAAAGGTCTTTTTTAAATTAATTTTCAACGTTGTGTCCTTCAAGCTGAAATCATGCCTTGAGCTCTACCTCCTCTCCCTTTCTCTCCTCACCCTCACGCTTAGGGTGACGTTCTAACTGCTAACGAAACCACTAAAAAATACATACTTAAAGGAAGGCGTGGAGATGTAAATGTCACAAATAGTGTAAAAGATAATAAGGAAGGCCTTAAACCATCAAAGTGAGAGTATACCCCAAAAGTGTGAAAACTATTGCATGGAGTCAGGCCTATGAACGTAGATATATATTTAGCACAGCAGTGAGGACCAAGGAGCAAAGTTGACAAACCATTAGGAGTTGGAAAGAGGGCAACAGAAATTAAAGCAACCGTGAAGTTCTGCACAATTCTGATTGGCAGTTGTGGATTTGGTATAATTCTGTATAACCATGTACTCGCTTACCCTAAACCAGTAGCAATTTGCGAAAATACCTAGAGAAGGTATTACCCTATTTCTCTCTTCTCTCAGCTCCATTCACAGGAGTTTGGAACTTCAAAGTCAGGTTTCTCAAAGTGTATAGATTATGTGACAATGCTGTTTGAAAAACTATTCCTAAGGAAGACACTGTATTAACTCTCTCGATCAGGTGGAAAAGTTTGGAAAGGCTCTGAACTATGCTGAAGCAGCCTTGTCATTCATTGAGTGTGGAAATGCAATGGAGCAGGGCCCAATGGAATCCAAATCTCCTTATACAATGTATTCAGAAACAGTTGAGCTCATCAGGTAAGCGCTGCATTTTCTTGCTTGGGGGCAGGGGTTGGGGGTGGAGGGAAGAATGTATATAAGTGCTGTGGACACAGAAAAGAATGTCAGCCTGCACTGTCAGCTACCAAGAGCCAGTGTTCATCCCCCAAATAAGAGTGGACAATCTTGCAAGACATTTCTGCAGAGGCTGCCTCCTTTGCTCTCTGTGTGAGTGCCGGGGGGTGGCGGCAGCTCCTCTAACCCCACTGGCTGCAGAAAGGAAGCTGAATCTGAGGGAGATGTGAGATGTCTACTTCACCCAGCTGGGAAGTGGCAGAATCTGAATTCACTACATCTCCATACTGCTTTTTTTTTTTTTTTTAACCTGATCCAGATTCATATAATCTAAATCCTAACTTCATCAGTAAATGATTCAGGAGTATTTAATGAAAGGAAAGAAGATTCAAGGGGATTTTAGGAAAGGAAGTCCATCCTAGGAGACCATCTGAAGAGGTGCTGGCGTTGTTCTGGTCTAAGACTTGGACGTGAGCGCCATCCCCCGGCCTGGGTTAAGACCTGTGGTATGCGCAGAAGCAGGTTTTCTGACTGGGGCACAGCAAGGACTTGGGTGGGAGACTCTTTGTCTTCCACGATGGCAACATGGAAAGGCACATCCTTAATGTCTCTTTAATGAACCATTAAGGGAATGTCATCCATTAACACTACTGGGAACCTTCATCATATGTTTTATGTCTTTAGCTGGTTCAACTGCTTGGGATAATGTCTAATACCCATTATGTGAAATAAACCTTCCCAAAACTAACTTTAAGAGACTTTTCTAATTCTGGAATTCTAGGCAACCTAAGAGTAAATGTGGTTTACCATGTCTCACCATTGCAGATGGAAGATTTCTAGTCATCCTCAATTTAACCTTCTTGGTATGCATTGGCCCAGGTTTGCTCCTTGGTATTTTACACTGTTCTCTTTCAGGAAGTAGGAAAGGATGACAGCCTTTGACTTTGTCATCCCAGTATCAAGAACACATCATCTTCAAAAAGTACTTCTCAAGAATGTTTTGAAAGTTAACACTCTCCAACCATTTTTCTTATTAAAATATTTCTATTGGGCTTCCCTGGTGGCGCAGTGGTTGAGAGTCCGCCTGCCGATGCAGGGGACACGGGTTCGTGCCCCAGTCCGGGAAGATCCCACACACCGCGGAGTGGCTGGGCCCGTGAGCCGTGGCCGCTGGGCCTGCGCGTCCGGAGCCTGTGCTCCGCAACGGGAGAGGCCACAACAGTGAGAGGCCCGCGTACCGCAAAAAAAAAAAAAAAAAAACAACACACACACACAAAATAAATAAATAAATAAATAAATAAAATAAATAAAATATTTCTATTACACCAATGTATTGGTCATTCCTTCATACCGTTTTCTTACATGGTACAGCATTTTGGGCAGTGAAGAAAAGAAATTGCCATAGTAAAAAAAAAAAAGCTTAAAATTACTTTAAGAGATCCTAGATTCTCACATTTCTTCCTCAGAATAAGGCACAGACTCAGATGCCCACAGGCAGGCATGGAAGAATATGGGTGGAAGTGGACAGGCACAAAGCCATAATGTGTTCTAGAATGTGAGTGCCTCAAACAGAGGGATGTTTTTGGTTTTTGTTTGATCTGTTCGTGTATGTGGTTATAACCCCTGGAAAAGATCTTAGAACATAGTATGTACTCAGTGAATATTTGAGGAATGAACAAATAAGCGAGTCACAGGGCCTCTGGTGAACTGCATAGCCTGCCTAAAGGCATTCAGACTTTAAAAAACAAACAAACGAATCCAAACAATGATAAAAGCCTGATGTCAAATAAACTGGAGGTGCTGATATGCACACCCGTGGGACCTTGCGTGGGTGGAAAACACAATGCATTTTCTAGATGATTGAATAGAATCCCTTAAGCTACTCCAAAAACTAAGATAAAAAAGAGTTTTTCTTATCTGAGTTAGAAGACAGCATTAATATACCACTTGAATCTGCATGTTGCCCACCAGGTTTGAGACTCCCCTCCCCCACTGAGAGACACTCGGGAGCTGGGAGCACCCCCAAGGAGGATCGTGCCACAGGTACCCAGCTTAGGATGTGTTCTTTGTCCCAGTAGGCAAGAGAATTCCTTTCTCCACCAAAGGACGCCAAGTGACTGGGAGACACTGGCGGGTGGAACCCTGCCACCACAGATCAAAATTGCACCACAAAACCTATGAAAATTAAATTGTAAATGGAACTACAGCCCACAGACGTAGGTTATGACTTGCCTGCTAAACCTAAACAGGATGACTTCCTTTTAAAAGAAAAGATTTAAACAGGACCCCGGTGTCTCCTAACATAATAGCCAAGATGTCCAAGATACAATAGAAACTCACTCATCATACCAAGAAACAAGAAAACCACAACTGAGATGAGAAAAGACAATCAGTTGACACCAATAACCAGGATGAATCAGATGTTGGAATTATCTGACAAGGATTTTAAAGCAGCCATCATAAAAATGCTTCAACAAAAAATTACAAATTCTCTTGAAACAAACAAAAAATGAAAGTCTCATCAAAGAAATAGAAGTTGTTTTGAAAAAGAACCAAATGGAAATTAAAGAACTGAGAAATATAACAAATAAAAATCTCACTGGAGGGGCTCAGTAGTAGAGTAGAGATGACAGAGGATAGAATCAACGAACTTGAGAACAGAAAATAGAATTTACCCCCCAATCGGAGCAACAGAGAGAAAACGGACTGAAAAAAAAAAAAAAGTGGATAGAGCTTCAAGCACAATGACAATAGAACCTCCATGTCAATATTGGAGTCCCAGAAGGAGAGGGAGAGAATGGAACTGAAAGATATTTTGAAGAAGTAATGGCTGAAACTTGCTAAATTTGGCAAAAGACATAAACCTACAGGTTCAAGAAGTGGAGAAAAACCCAAACAGCATAAACAGCCAAAGCAAGGCATGCCAAGACACATCAAAACTACATTTCTGAAAACTAAAAACAAAGGAAAAGAAAAAATCCTGAAAGCAATGAGAGAGGAATGACACATTACCCACAGGGGGACACCAATTCAGATAACAGCTGACTTCTTATCTGAAACCATGGAAGCCAGAAGGGAGTGGCACAACATTTTTTAAATGCTGAAAGAAAAAAACTGTCAAACTGTGAACTCTAGATTCAGTGAGACTTCATTCTTCAGGAATAAAGAGGAAATAAAAACATTCTCAGACTAAGGAAAACGAAAAGACTTTGTTTCTAACAGACCTACCTTTAAAGGTTGGCTAAAGGAAGTTTCTCAAACAGAAAGGAAGTGACAAAAGAAGGAATCTTGGACCAACAGGAGGGAAGGAAAAACAACATAAGAGCAGAACTATGGGTACATGCAATAAAGTATCCTCCTCATGAGTTTTATAAATCATAGTTGATGATTGAAACAAAAATTATACCACCATGTGATGCTCAAGACAATGTTATTTAAAAGCAGTGACATGGAAGTAAGGTTTCAACTCTTCAAGCAAAGTAGAAAATATTGATACCAATAAATTGTGATGAGTCACATATGTATCTTGTAATACCCGGAGAAACCACTATGAAAACTAAGCAAAGAGATACACTCAGAAACACTACAAGGGACTTCCCTGGTGGCGTGGTAATTAAGAATCCACCTGCCAATGCAGGAGACACAGCTTCAAGCCCTGGTCTGGGAAGATCCCACATGCAGCAGAGCAACTAAGCCCGTGTGCCACGACTACTGAGCCTGCGCTCTAGACCTGCGAGCCATAACTACTGAGCCCACGTGCCACAACTACTGAAGCCCGCACGCCTAGAGCCCGTGCTCCGCAGCAAGAGAAGCCACCGCGACGAGAAGCCCACGCACTGCAATGAAGACCCAACACAGCCAAAAATAAATAAATTAAAAAAAAAAAAACCACTACAAGTCTGCATGCTGTGGAGATAGTGTAATAACAGTATCATTTCTTGAGCAATTTGCAATAAGCCAGCCCACTATGCCAAGAACTTTACAAACACTATCTCACTTAATCCTTACAGCAATGCTATGGGATCCACAGTACTCATCTTACTTTATAAATAAGGAAATGGAGGCTTAAAGCCGTTAATTTGTCTAAGCTCTCACAACTGTAAGGACTTGAACCCAGGTCTCCCTGACCATTCCATATACTGCCTCAGCTCTCTCCAAGAGTCTGCAAGTAACTTGGTATATTATTGGAGAAAGGAACAGCCATAGACCTCTGGTTCAGAGAAATAAGTGAGATTGAATAAAGTTCATAAAATCTACTAGTTAATGCATCCAGGACAGTTATACTACTGTCAAAGTAAGAGTTCCATAACAATAAAAAAGGAATAAATCCAAGCAGTCATCTGAGTACAAGGAATAAACATTTTTTTGGAGATTGGCCTGGAAGGATTGACCTTTGCTCCCATCTTGTCAGCCGCTCAGCCATAAATCAGAATTTGTAAAAATGGATGTGTCACCATATACGTGGATAATGCTTGAACTGATACCACTCTTGATCATCTGTAGCGTTTGGACTTGTATTGTTAAAGGGCAGAAAGCTGCTGGATGGTCATAAAAGCCATTTTGTTCTAGTCATCACAATCATGTCATGCTTGGAGAAAATGGGGCAGCCTCAGCTGGCTTCTAGGAAAGAACTGTCAGCAAGCACTATGAAAAACTAAGTGTTGGGCAGAGAGAACTTCCATCCTAGAAGATGTTCTGTTGTTAATAAGAAAGCTTTAATTTTTTGTTTTTCTTTCCTTTTTTTTTAAGGTATGCTATGAGACTAAAAACCCACTCAGGCCCCAATGCCACACCAGAGGATAAACAGCTGGCTGCATTATGGTAAGTGCCCCACATCAGATTAAAATAGCCTCCCCAGCCTTGTACATCTTCACTGGCAAACCAGGTGCTGAAATGCACGATGGTTTCCTAGCGCTTCTGACACACCAAACCAAAGGCAGTTCTCATGGTGGCCAGGGAGAGCCTGCACCCTGCCGTCCTAGGCATGAGGTGAATTCACAGTGATTGAAAACCAACAGGTCCATGACACAAGGACCCATTTTTCTGTGTGTGTGTGTGTGTGTGTGTGTGTCTTAAAATCAGGTAAGTCTGTGTTTTAATCACTTGAATGTGAATTGCGCCAAATGTAATCTCTTGTGTTTAACATTTTGGAGGCAATCAAGATAATTCATCTGTCTCTTGACCTGTGGGATTAGTAGAACTGAATCAAGATGATGTATTCAAGTTCTCAACACATTAAACTGAGGAGCAGTTCATTCCACTTTGATAATAAAAGCAATATTTCAATGTTAATCAACACGTAATAGGTTTTTTTTCTATAATGATGACAATTATAATGATTATAATAATAATTTTCCCCTCGACATCTCCTTAGTACTCCCTCAAATCACAGGACACCTCTCTGTTGGTTCCTCCTGTGATGGGAAGCCAAAGTGTCTTTTTCTCTGATGCTTCATACTCCACTCTAGAACCTGATCTGCAAGTTGGAGAATCGAATCTCAAAATAATATAACAGCAACAACAGCAACATACACAAAAGAGAAAACACTAGTTTTGCAACATCACGTCCTCTGGAGTTTGGTGCGCTAAGAAGAGACTCTTGGTCAAGGGTGTATTGTACAACACAGGGAATACAGCCAATATTTTGTAATAGCTGTAAATGGAAAGTAACCTTTAAAACTTGTATTAAAATAAACTGAAAAGTTTAAATTGAAAAAGAAAATGTAAGAGACTGTTAAGCTGTATTTGGTATGTTGGTGTTCTAGTATGTCAGCACCGGATCTGAGTTAGCAAATGATTAGGAGTGGAAAGCACCAAGGAGAAGTGGATACGGTGAGGACACGGGGAGGGGGAAGGGGCAGCTGGGACGGAGTGAGAGAGAGGCGTGGACATATATACGCTACCAAACGTAGTAAGGTAGATAGCTAGTGGGAAGCAGCCGCATAGCACAGGGAGATCAGCTCGGTGCTTTGTGACCACCTAGAGGGGTGGGATAGGGAGGGTGGGAGGGAGACGCAAGAGGGTGGAGATATGGGGATATAAGTATAAGTATAGCTGATTCACTTTGTTGTACAGCAGAAACTAACAGAACATTGTAAAGCAATTATACTCCAATAAAGATGTTTTTTAAAAAAGTGGGTGTGGCACAGGAAATGCTTTCTGTGCTCTTTTCAAACTTTAAGCTCCTTATTAGGATTAATAAATTAACAATGATTCGTTAATATTATATAAAATAGAATACTAGTATGTAAATAACAAATATATAAACCGTAACATAAAATAGTGACTACTCCCAGTATGGTTTTTATAAAATACATTCATATCCGTTACTTTATTTGAACTAATTATAGTCCAGTACAGTGGTAGTGAAGGGAATAAAAACAGGTGGAAGGGCTGGCTATTCTTTTAGCAAAGCCGCTGCCGGAAGTCCAGGGTGTCAAGGCAAATCAGAATAAGGTAGTTGTGCCCTGAAATACACCCAGCAAGCAGTGAGAGCTGTGTGCTAGAGCCTCCTCCCTCCTCTCATGGAGAGAGACTGTCTCCTAGTGGTGGAAGAAGAAAATGACAAGCCCCTCAGTCCCAACAAAGAAGCAGTAAAGCTGCTTTCTGTCTTCATATTTATATTCTTTAGTTATATATATTCTTCTTTTATTCATATTTCTTTATATGAAGTGACATACTTGTGGAGTAACTCCTTGGAATTTTGAGTTACATTGAACAGGTAGGAAGGTCATATGCCTACCGTGTTATAGACCTTGAGTGCACCTGGAACAGCAAGATTGTTTTTAAGTCTTGTTAGCCCAGGGCCCACTCATACTTTCGGGGGCTATTCCTCTTTTTCTGCTGCAGTTACCGATGCCTGGCTCTCCTGTACTGGCGGATGTTTCGACTCAAAAGGGATCACGCTGTAAAGTATTCAAAAGCACTTATCGACTATTTCAAGGTACTGTCTGGCTAACAGGCAACATGTTGTACCCAGTTGTCTCCCTGTCAAGGACATTTTCAAGGTAGAATCCATTGCTTTGGGGATAATACAGGAGCTGATATCCACACGAACCCCATTTATGACATACTCGTGTTCAGGGCTCAGAGGATGGCCTTGAGAGCCCATCTAACTTATCCCTCTACCTGTGTCCAAGTATTTTTATAGCCTCTAAAGAAAGAAGATCCCGTTACCTATCCCAGTGTCCTAGCAAATCCGTCTTTATAGCTAACATAAATTGCTCATGTTCACTTAGAGCTTCTTCCTCTGAGAAGTAATTCCTTAGAACTTCCTCTTAGCTATCTCCAGTAGCTAATATAATTTTTCATAAAGGTGTTATTTTAAATGGTAAGAAATGACTTGTTAGAACCCAGAGACACTAGAACAGTAGCCATGTGCACGTATAACGATAGAATTGCAAACCGTGCTAACTTTTACCTATCTCAGGGAATGAAGTCATTTTCACTGGGAGAATGAAAAAAAGGGGGAAAAAAAGACCAGAAAACCTCTGATGTACTGTTGTGAATAATTCATCTGAGATTTCTGGGCCTCTTCACTGCCCATTTGACCGTAGAAACAAGAAATTACGCCATTTCTACCTCCACCGGCTGTTTGTCAGATACACAACCATCATTTTCGATCTTTAATCCCCAACCTCCACTTCTTGGAGATGATCTCTGATGAGCCGGCTGTGCTGGGCATTCCGTGGGCGATGTCCACCCAGCATACTGTCTCCTTCCTGGTCATGCATGCAGTGACCAGGAGCTAAGCCACTGTCTTGGTCCGTTGACGGTCGTCAGTCATAATGACAAGTACTGACACTAAGCCTTTCCCTTTACTTTGGGTGCCTAAGGTCAAGATAAGTAGTTTTCAAAAATTTAGAATCTAAGAGCTAATACTAAAGAGAGTTATTACAGTCAAGCAAAACGCTTGACTAGAGAAGGAATCTGAACTCTGTAAGCCACAGAGGTTACAGCAGAACTATTAAGGGATCCAAGATGTTCTTAATGTCTGTAGGCAGTCCATGAAACTGTACAGAACGAATAGAGAATACAAATTAAATATCAGAGCTTCCCCCAGAAGGTATTGGTAGATACCCTAAATCAAAGGCTATTTAAATACTACTTAAAGTTCAGAGATTATGAAACCTTTAGGAAACAGTGATAACTGGTCCATAAAAAATGAGTTTTCTCAGTACAGCTGGCTCTGAATAAAAGGCCTTTGTCCCCACCCATGTTTTTCTTATAGTCACAGGACTTTAGTGGTAGGGGAAGAGGCCTGAAGGTGATTTTGCCAAATTCCCACATGTAAGGCCATTTCTTACCATTTTGATGACACCTCCACTAAAAACTAAAAATCAGTCACCACTTCATAAAGTTCTTTTTAACCAAAAGAAACACTTTGTCTCTGGGGAACCAGGCTGAGGCTATTTTCTTGTCTCTGGAAGGGAAAATTCAATATTGTAAAGTCCATTCTCTCCTTAACAGTCTCATAGACTTATGTCCAAGAAAGCATTATTGGGCTCTCAGGGAGGAAATCTATCTGTACATTTAGAAGCTTTCCTTGCCAAAGGCACAAATGTCTTTTAAATGCCTGATGCAAACAACTGGCTCATGCAACATATCCTATATCAGAATTTTAAATAAATCAGAATTTTTGAATTCACTGTTGTTAAGGAAATACATTTTAATCTGTTCTTTTAGAAACATTCAAGAGCAACTTTGTTTAAGAGAAATACTTTTAAGCTTCGTAAGTTAAGATGGTAACAGTTGGGCTTCCCTGGTGGCGCAGTGGTTGAGAGTCCACCTGCCGATGCAGGGGACACGGGTTCGTGCCCCGGTCCGGGAAGATCCCACATGCCACAGAGCAGCTGGGCCCGTGAGTCATGGCCGCTGAGCCTGCGCGTCCGGAGCCTGTGCTCCGCAACGGGAGAGGCCACAGCAGTGAGAGGCCCGCGTACCGCAAAAAAAAAAAAAAAAAATGGTAACAGTTGATGTCTCATATATTTTCAGGCATTAAATATATGTCAACGATTTCTGCAAATATGCCCTACGTTTAAAAATAAGACATTCTCACTGTGTCAGTGGGAGGGGGCAGCTGCCTCCCACTATCTTCCAGAGAGGAAGCCAATAGCCTGGTAATTAAAAACTCCCCAGATCCAGTTTCTGTGAATCTGCATTTTATCTACAACGTCAGCCATTACTTCTCTCAGCGGTCACCTGAGAACACGTTGTTGTGGGCTGTTTAAACTCAAGCAGATGGTACTCACTGTCAATGTTTTTATTTTCCTGCAGAATTCATCTAAAGCTGCCCAAGCCCCATCTCCATGGGGGGCCAGTGGAAAGTAAGTTCATTTTTCCAAGGTGAAGGTGATAAATGAGGTGTTGCATGACGCTGGGTAAGGTGCTCCTCTGCTTACAGTGCCCTGAGGGGCTGCCCTACCAACCTCTCCACCCGTTTTCCTATGCTCTCCCCTTCCAGGAGCACTGGCACCCCATCCCCCATGTCTCCCAACCCCTCCCCCACCAGCTCCGTGGGATCTCAGGGGAGCCTCTCCAATGGGAACGCCCTGTCCCCATCAACCATCGTCAGCATCCCACAGCGCATCCACCAGATGGCAGCCAACCACGTCAGCATCACCAACAGCATTCTCCACAGCTATGACTACTGGGAGATGGCGGACAACCTGGCCAAGGAGAACAGAGGTGTGTGTGCCTCTGGGGAGCGTGTGCGTAGTTCAGCCACAGCTCAGGGGGACACCCTGATCCTTGGGCATCAGCAGGCGAAGAAGAAGTAGTAGAAGCTGTCTATACTGTGGGAAAGATCAGAGATAGAGATGGAGATAGAGATGATATAGGTACCAATGATACAGACACAAATTATATAGATAAACACACACACATGTTTTTTTTCCTTCAGACAGTGAGCTCCTTAAAGGTAGGGATTACATTTTATTCAACTCTGTATTCCTAAGACCTGCATAGTGCCTAGAGCACAGTTGGGGATCTGAAACACTGGATGAGTTAATTAACTGATAAGTATGAATGTTGCTAGCCATTGAAGTGATAGCTGCTCACAACTGAAAAGAAATGTGTTTGATGGGTAAGCTGTATTTCTTTTTAAATAATGTTTGTTTTTACTGATTACAAAAGGAATGCATGTTTACCGTGGCTAAATTTGTAAAGTACAAAAAAACTGTAGAGAAAAAAATTTTTTGATCACCCGTAATCTTGTCACTAAGGAACACCTACTATTAACATTCTATTGAAAAAAAAAAAACCTTTTGAAATTGCTTCTCATTTTCTCCAAATATGCATGATTTTTACCAAAATAAGATCATAGTATATATACAGTTTTACATCCTGTCTTTTCTTCATTTTACATTATATCAGGCATTTTCTCATGTCACTAACTCATTCAGGAACGCCTTTTATGATGACTCTATAATACTTTCAAAATAGAGGTATGCAATCATAAGTATCATGATTTCTCAAACCATTCCCCTGTTGTTGGACATTTGTGTTACTTCCAGTTTTTTCCCACTGTTACAAATAACGTTACGATAAGTATCCTCATGTCAGTCGTTGTTCGTATTTCTGATTCCTGTCATAGGAGGGAGTTGTAGAAGTAGAATGTGGAGGTCAACAGGTATAGATTCTTTTAAGATATGTATTGGTATATTATTAACTTTCTCCCATAAGATTATACCAATTTACTACTCTTTCTCCAGTGCTGGGTGAGAATGTAAATCTGAGCTCACTGTTAAGCCATTAAATGCAAATTTTGTTCCCATGGTAACATGTGCCTCTGAGGCTAAGATCGGGATGTCCATGATGAGATGAGGAACCAGTGGCACAGATAGGCCTGGGTACGTGAAATTGATAATGAAACCAGACAGGACATAACAGTAGTACGGCGGTGAGGCACCCTGAAAATCCAGTGGGGTGCCAAGGAGGTCAGTGCCAGGGGCTGAGGCCAGCAGGCTCACCAAAGGAGCTGGCACGGAACAGGGTTTTGAAAAGCAAACAGTAGTTGAGTGGCTGAGATGGAGTGGGGTGGATGTGTCACAAGTGGATGAAACAGAAGGGACAAATGTACAAATGTCCACGGCCAGTTTGGGAGAGCCTGAGCAGGCCAGGCTCCAGATGGCACTGCCAGCTGCTGCCAGCCGTCCCTCAGCAGAGCTGCACATCGAGTGCAAAGTCCGCACGGCTTCCCCAGACCTGCCTCTCCTCCCCTGTTCTCCTCCTGACCTCCTGCCACGCTGTCCTCCCGGCCCTTCTCGGAGCCTGCCCAGCAGGACCTCATTCAGCACGTACAAGAGCACCTTTGAAAGAATACTCCCAGCTTCTTACTTTCAAGGAGTGCTGTTCAGTGGTCCAGTTAGGGCAGCCTGGCAGCCACATGAATTGATTCGTGTCTATGAGCCACCAAACCGTGATCTCTGCGACGGCAGAGCCTACACATTCTTCATCTCGGTGTACCCCCTGCCTCTGCCCTCCTACACCTAGTGTAGTGCCTTGGCAGTAATAAATGTTTAAGGAAAGGACAAACCCAGAGAATGTCCAAGGGCTAGAAGGTGACCTCAGTAGAGGTGTTTCAGAACCCATCTGTGAACAAGGGCCTACAGTATAGCACAGGGAACTAACTGTACTCAACGCTTTGTAATAACCTATAAGGGGAAAGAACCTGAAAAAGAATAGATGTATAACTGAATATGTATAACTGAATCCTGAAACTAACACGACGTTGTAAATCAACTATACTTCAGTAAAATAAAAATAAAAGACAATTTAAACAAGCTGGATGCTCCAAAAAAAAAAAGAGGGACCTCCCTGGCGGTCCAGCAGTTAAGACTCCGTGCTTCCACTGTAGGGGGCACGGGTTTAATCCCTGGTCGGGGAACTAAGATCCCGCGTGCCGCACGGTGCAGCCAAATAAATAAATATAAAATTTAAAACAAAAAAAAGAAAGGAGAACCCGTCTCTGATTTGTCTCCAGGAGCCTGGAGCCTCCTCCATCGGACTCCCACCCTCCCCCGACAGGGGCTCAGCACATAGCACAGCTGAGGACAGTGTAAGGGATGACAGAGCTGCAGGCCAAGTTCAGGGTGGGACGCATTACTGCACAAGGAGAATGCAGCCTGAGGAAGTACATTTTCTTTGCTCTTTGGCTAAATAAATGCCATTCATTTGGGTTGGGTTTGGTTTAGTTTGGTTTTGCCATGCCATGTTTCCTTTGTTTATTCAGAATTATTTCAGTAAAATACATACATATTTTTCCTCTCTGTCTATATACATGTATATATTTTAAACATGAAGAGTTAAATCTATTAAAATCAGTGTACTTACAGAACAGTGAAAAAATGACATGTAAAACACACAGCATCCATTAAATTCAAGATTGTAAATGTCACTCGTTTGAATTAGAAGTCGCCAGTTGAGGGATTATTGGGATATAGGTGAGCTCTCGGGGGCTTTATTTTGTTAGGTTGAGCTCATGTCAAGTGATGGGACAGAGAAGGCTTGATTTATAAAGAGGACCAAGTGTGTGTCCCTCTAACGACCCTCTCTGTCCCCTAGAATTCTTCAATGACCTGGACCTGCTCATGGGGCCAGTCACCCTGCACAGCAGCATGGAGCACCTGGTCCAGTACTCCCAGCAGGGCCTGCACTGGCTGCGGAACAGCACCCACCTGACATAGGGGCCCCGCCTTCGGGCTGGAGGGCACTCTTGTCTTCACGGACGGCTCAACATTTCTGGACACTGTGCTCCTGAAGTTCCCAGCCACAGCATTTCTCAAACGGCGGTGAATATTTTCTCAGCATCGAACAATGGTCTTTTCTCCCAGGGCATGTGTGTTTGTATGTGTGGGTGTAGAAAAGCTGCCTGTGTAAGTGTGTGAGATACACAGCTCTTTAGAACACGTTTCCTTTGTCTAGTTTCCATAATCCCAGGCTAGACAAAGTGATCAGACGTTTCTGATTAGAGAAAACACGCTTACACACACACACACACACACACACACACACACATACATACATACACATACACACACACACACACACTTTCTAGTTCAAAGCTAAACCATGACTTCTTAGAACATTCAACGAAAATCTCATGGGTTAGTGAACCAGGTGCAATACAGCACACCAAAAGCTTTTTGACTGCCACTTAAGATCATCTTAGTTCTTATACTTTTGATTACTTTCAATATTAATATACTCTCCCCCAGTTATTATTTTTTTGACTGTGTGTATTCATGGGTAATTGAATAATGAAAATAAGTCAGTTATTTTTGTGGACGTTTACTAGATTGCATGTTACCAAATACCCTGCCTTTTGTCTAGTACCTGCCCCTTCCAGCCAACTTTACTGTCAACTAAACGTGTTAGAAAGCAAGTGAATTGACTCCCACGGGCCTTCCCTGCCCTGCCCCGCAAAATAGTATGACCGTGACACTGAGATTTGGTAAAACTTCAGTGTCTTTGAAAATTCACCAACATGAAAGCAGCAACAACTGCTTTGCGGGGGCTCAGTGAGTAATTGAAATCTCCTGCACACGCCAGGAGCCCGCCCGGCACATGTGTTTCTTCTTCCTGCCACTGTGACCCAGGGGCTGTGGAGCCACGTGGTGTCTGTCGGCCGATATTTTTCAAGTGTTTTCTTTCCATGATAGCTTTCTTACCAGTTGTCTTGGCCAGATGAGGACATTACCTAGGATGTCCGTTCACTTGGGTCTGTATCTGTTGCTTCTCAGGCCAAAAACTATTTGCTATCATGATTCTATCGAATCCTCTCACTCTTGGGGAAAGTGCCACTGCGGGCCTTGAATGCGTTTTGATCTGGGCGATGTGTTTCAGGCTTTGATTAGCAAGCTGCTACAGAATAAGTTATTCCTGCAAGGATCGCAGTCCTGTCTGGGGTAGCAACGACCAGTCTGGTATGTTTCCGGCTCGCCCTTGATTCTTTTCTTTCTTTTTTTTTTTAATTAAGTTTACATTTTAGTTTTTTTGACATCTTTGTTTACAGTTTTTGTCTGAAATTTATTTCTTTTATTGTCTCTCGTCATACCCTAGATTTGATCTTCTTAAATATATTTGGATATAAAAATATTGGTTAAAAAAAAAAAAAAGAAAAACTCCTGGAAAAGAGGATATACTTCCTATACTTTAAAAACAAAAACAATGACCTTGAGGCCTCTCACTTGACAAAATTGTCCCAAGACGGCCTGAGAAAGGTGATGTGATATGTGGAACAATCCATTTCTCAAGGTTATGGGAACACAAAACGTTTATAACAGATACTGATGGTCTTATTGGTTTGGTTGCAATGTTAATGTCTTTGTCAGCCTGATCTGTAGGTGGGAAATAAGATTGCTGTCATCCCCTAGCTCTAAGCACTGATTTAAAACCTTACAAATGATTGAGTAGCTTTGGTGATTTGAAATTCATTTAAATGAACAAGTGAAGGCTTTGCGCAATTTGCATTTGGCGTTGGCCTTCAAGCGTCCGGAAATATTAACAGTACTTCTTTTTTACATTTATTCAACTGAGGTGCTTCTGACATTCCTTTCACTAATTGTTGCTAGAGTTCCCAATCCCACTGGAGTCTCACTTAAGACATTTTGAATTTTTTTTTTTTTTTTTTTTTCTGGAAGCCTGAGGCTTAGTTGTACTCACTCCTGCTGAATTCTGATGAAATGTTCAGACTCTCACAAAAAGGGATGGCCCCCAGGGTCCATGGTGCATCCCTGGGGTGCTTTTCTGGTCTTCCCCACCTTTCAAGTCTCAGGCCTCGTGGTGGTGTTCATGTGATGTGCTCACCTGTGAAACCCATTTAAACACACAGGTGACCTCTGGCCAGTTGTGCAAGCAGCACCACATCAGCGCTCGGTGAGCCGCGTTTCCAGCAAAACGTGAAGCTGGTCATTTGGGGGCCGTCACAGCACGCCATTCTCAGTGTCTTTTGTTTCATTGGTAGAGCATGTCGGGGGCAGTGGTGGCAGTGGTTTTTCCTTGCTTTGGCATTGATGCTTTTGATAAGGAAGCATCTTCTCATCGTTGCTGGTTTCTTTTAGTTAGCTTTGTTCAAAGTAGAAATATCTTTCTTGTGTTTTCTGGTTATGAAAGTAATACATGCTCATGGTAGAAACTTGAACAATACAGAGAAGTATAAAGTAGGAAGTATTCAGTCCCATTCCCCAGAGACAACACTGCTCATCCTTTTCCTGTATATCCTTCTAGAGAGTCTCCCATTTGAACGTAGAATGTCTATCATCATTTTTTTCTATTTGAAGACATTATTTCATCAGAAGTTCAGTACAAGTTCAACTGGCCTTATCCCTCCATGACCTGAACGGACCTGGATCACAATTGTTAGAGTTATCTTTGAAAGAGAGGAACCCAAATGTATTCCTGATCAAAATGTGGGATTTGTTACCATTCGACACAGATCAGACTAACGTGCAGAATTGTGCTTGGAAAGAGAGGTTCAGTTAAAACACATTGCTGGAAACTTTCAAATCACAAAGGGAAACTCGGACCCACTGTCTAAAGAGGAATGTACTGGAAAAAAAAATCTGAAGAGCTGACAAATTGTGTACTAGATTGAAAACATGGAATCAATGCAATGAGCCTTCTGCACTAAAACGTACCCTCGTATGTGCAACAATGATGTGTGTATTATATAACAGTGATGTGTACATTTCTGACATCCCATACATAATACACAGTTTGTATAAATGCATACGTTTAAAAATATATATGTACAATACAGCTAACATAAAACTGTAGTACGCCTGAAGGATATGACTGGTGCCTAATATTGAGTATAAGTCACTACGTGTTCAAATCACCTCAGAAGTGCAGTAATTGTTATCAGATTAATCAGTGCAGCCAACCTTATTTATGAACCACATCTTTGAAACTGTGCAGTAGTATATACATATATATTTTTAAATAACATTTTTCACAGTTTTCCAGAGTTACTGTTGAAATCTGTATCACCAAAAAAAAAAAAAAAAAAAAGCAAGATTTTTTTAAATGATGTAGACACTCTTCAGACCCAGTAATCTGTGTGTGATTTCCTGTCTGTAGATACCCAAGACACTCTAGCAGTCACCAGCCTTAATGCATGTACAGGATATTATTGTGACTTAATTTATCTGCAGTTTTTAATCCATGTGAAATGGGAATTTATAAACTGACTTGGATTAACTATGTCTGCCTTTCTAAGGTTGCAAATGTTACATTAAATGATTTATGTTATAAATGAGAGGCATCGAGTTGTATGTAAAAAAAAAAAAATGTCCACCAATTTCTGTGAATATTTTTACAAGGAAACTTCAGAATCAAAAATATATTCAAATAAGCATTCTGGTCCTCATTTCATAATCTCTTTAGAATGGACCTTGTTGTTTCATAAAATTTTTAAATGGAGCTTCCACAGATTATCATTAATAAGTCTGATATTTTTCATGGGGGTAAAAAGTATGTTTTTCTTTATTGTAAGTATAGTTTACTATTTGTCTTTCCCATTTCCCAGCATATTTACACACGCACATGCATGTGTGAGAATACAAACGCACACGCATGGGTGAGAACACACCCCCATTGTCCCAGAAAACACTGCATAGGAAGCTTGAGGTGTTTGTTTTGATGACTTTACTGATGCCTGTCCAACCAGTAGCCCTGGGACACTGTTTGACTCATCATTCCATAATGACAGAAGTTAACTCCCTGACTTGTGTCTACCTGGTTTTTCCAACTCTAACCAACATGGTAGAATAATGCTGGCAATATTTGGTTGAGTGAAATGAGAGAATTTTGAACTAACGAAGATAGACATATTAGACCAGTGGCTTTCCGTGATGTATCCCCCCCCCGATGTGGGAGGGTTTTTTGTTAACCTCATTTTTTTACTCTTCTCTCCCTCCTTTTTCATTCCCCTTCTCCCCAAACTAAACTAAACAAAGAAGCAGAAACAGCCACAGAAACAAAACAGTTACTTCACTTTACCCAGCCTATATCCTTAGATTCAAATACGACAGCAGAACCCTAGCTCCGGTCACCATGGAGACCGCCTCATCCCAAAGATGACCTGGCCGGGGTCCTTGGCTTTGCTTGCTCCAGAGACCACTGAGCTTAATACTCTTTCAGAGGTGGTTTGGGCTAAGAAACGCCCAATAGTCTTTCAAGAGCTGTCTTTCCCTTATGCAGTTTTGCCTACTACTCAGCTGAAGTCTGTTCCCATCAGAATCCTATTTTTAAGAAGTAAGCCATTTTCAATGAAACCTGGATCAAGTGGAGTCTTGAAAGACTTTTTTTTTTTTAATGAAAGTGAAAAAAAAATAGAAAACAACAACATAAACTGCATTTCCAACAAATTGGAGCCAGAGTTTTATTTCCTTGTCTTCCCATTCCCAGAAGAGCACAGTTTTTCAATATTACAACTTCCTGACAGCACAAGAAATGTTCAGACTTGAGATTTGTGTTCTCTTTGTCCAAACCGAATTCTTCTGTATATGTCATCAGACGGGTCCATTTGTTTGCTTGGCATGAGGAAAATGATAAAACTCTGTTCTCAAACGAATTACATCTGACCACGGTTTTGGTTTTTATTTTATTTAATTGGCACTCTTGAGGCAGCAGGGGGTGAATTTGGGGTCGGCTACAAGGGGATTTAGACTCACAGCTCTGACTCAAGTAATGGGAATCAAGGGATTAAATCCCTCTGTGTTACTTTGAAAATCCACCTCGTGTAGCCAATTTTAAACACATTGATCTAAGGGATGAATTACTAATTGCCAATCAACACAAGGATCAGCATTTGTCTTTAAGCACCAGGAAGTAGTGATGAGACCTGAAAAGCTGAATCAAGGACTTGTTTTTCCACGCGTTTCTAGCACAGGAAAAGCTCATCAGAAAATATTTATATCCAACTATGATATAAGATAGTACCCATGTTTAGGATTTTCAAACAGTGCTCTTTGGTTATAAAAATGATCACCATTTTCTAGTTTCCGTATTGTTTTCCAATGCTTTTTCGTAAAACAGAACTGATTTTTTCCCCAGTATTTATCATCTCTTTATTTCTAGATGCCCAAATGAGCAAAGAAAATACTTACCCCTGAGGAATGTGCATTACTTGACCATACAGCATCCACCCACAGTAGCCAAACGTATGTATTCTTTTTAAAGCAGCGGTCCCCAACCTTTTTGGCACCAGGGACCGGTTTCATGGAAGACAGTGTTTCCACGGATGGTGGCGGGATGGGGCAGACGGTTCAGGGAGTAACGCGAGCGATGGGGAGCGGCTGTAAATACAGATGAAGCTTCCCTCACTCGCCTGCCGCTCACCTCCTGCTGTGCAGCCCGGTTCCTAACGGGCCACAGACCAGTACCGGTCTGAGACCTGGGGGTTGGGGACCCCTGTTTTAAAGAACATTCTCTGAGTCTCCTCTGTTACCTTCATCTACAGCGTGAGTGATCACGAAGCCTGAAATATAGCCACGTAGTTGAGGTGTCAAAAATCCTAAGCACATAACACACTCATCTTTAGTGATAGACACTTTCCTAGCATTACCAGCTCTCTGTGGGGCCTATTTGTGGGGTGAAATGGCAATATTAACACTTTTCCTTTGAATAATTTGCAAACTGACTTTTGATCCCCTGAAGTTCCCAGGGCTGCCAACTCAACCCGAAATGTCCTTCTCTGAGAGCTGGCTTGATTTTTTTGTTCCTTTGGGGTTTTTCCTTCTAAGTTCTGTAAGTCAGATTCTGTATCTTGACTATTTCGAAGAACAGTTACTAGAGACAGTGGGGGCTTTCAGGAGACAAAGATTCAATATTAGAACTCGCCGACCTTGGGGATGAGAAGTCTCGGGAATAAGCGGGCTGCCTGGACGCTCTCCTCCTTTGCCTGCTGCCCCCGGTTCTTAAATAAAGCCCCTCTCCATGCTTGCTTTTCATCCATCTGAAATGTAACGCAGAGCATCAACTGACCACCCCCGCCACCCCCCCGAGAGAGGGTGAGGACCACCCTGTTGGGGCAGCATTTTGAGATCCCCAGTTGTCACCCACAGCTGGAGTTAAGCATCACTGTCAGAACAGAGGCACCGGAAACCCACTGTCTCTGCAGGCACCACGATGCAAAGGTGGGTGATGGGGGAGATGACACTTTGTCCCAGCTCTGACCCGTTTCTAGGGGGCCAAGAGGATGACAACGGGTCGCCACAGGCCCCTCCATGGGACCCCTCAGCCTTCGTTGTTACCACTTTGAGTCCATCCCGCCAGCAGTGAGGGAGCTGGGGCAGGGTGTCCTGTCCTGGGCAGGAGCACCAGGACTGCCAGGTACCCTGCAATCAGTGATACAGTCGCACCGTCCTCTTCTTCGTCCCGTCCTGGTCTTACGGGAGCAGTGGGTATCCAGATGGAAAGTGGAAGAGGGAACCTTGGGTCCAAGCTTCCAATGGGTGCCTCTTCCATGAGAACATAGCCCGCCTCGAGAACACCGGGCTTCAGACATCCTTGTCAAGCCAGATGCCCACAGCACAGTCGCATTACCTCTGCTCTCCTGGATTTCTTTTGAATGCTGGGAAGCTGGCTTCTCTTCATGTGAATCCTGTGCCTCTGATGGTAATTTTTTGTTTGTTTGGGGCCGGGAGACAGAGGACAGCTGCTCTGGGAGGTCTGTCCCTGAGAAGGGAGATCTGTCATAAGGGACTTGTGTATGTCATGAGCTTCGGGAAAGAGGAAACTCCTCCTGAGGAAGGGATGGGTTTTTTTTTCTGTAGTGCGTTAGAGAATTGCCTCAACATGACTGCTTCATTGTAGGCTAAACCTCAGGGTCCCAGGAGAAAGAAAATCAACCTGAGAACTGAGTGATCTTGTGATGCCGAGCTAGAGGGTGGCTGTTCTAGCCCCAAACATCAGGACAGAGACTGGAACTCTGACCATTGACCTGAGTGTTTCACACCACGGAGGTCACGACCTAAATGTTGGATCGAAGTTTTTTAGCTTTTGCTTAATATTTATATTATTTAGACACAGGGGCTTCCTTGTGTCCCTAAATCAGTGCTTTGAGCTTAACCAAAATAATCATGAAACACTCATTCAGAAGGGCCTCTTTTCATAGTCACTGGAAACCCCCTTTCCTTTAGGACAAAAGAGCAACAGCTGAAGGTCCTGAAGGATCCAGCCTGATTGAAGCCCGAATCAGTACCAATACCCTTTCCAGGGGAGCACGACACCTTTATGGGGTAAACTCTGGGTGTTTAGGTTAAAAATTCTAGGGTGGCAACAGAAGGTGTATTAGCATGAGGAGGTGGAGATACTCCAGCTAGATACTCAGATTTCCCCTTATCTCAGGCAGGATATTAAGGAACAGACACGCCTACTACAGCACAATAGCAGCTTACTGCTGAGGTTCTGTGGAATCAAGTTCAAAGTCACTCACTCCCACGTAGTTTGCCTCGGTTGGAGCAGGAATTTTAATTCCACCATTTTCCTTTTGCTGTGTCATCTTGGATGTTTATTCATGGAGCTGGCAACTCTAATTCAATATTCTGATATCAATGGCCTAGTGTGTCACATCAAACACCATTTCAAATTCTGCATCTCGGTCTTGGGAAAGCTGCCAGCAACTTAGAATCCTGCTTATTCCCCTGGAGACGTTGCCAGCAATCCGGATGAAGCAGCCACTGAACCAGATTAAAGGGCCTTCATTTTCTCCTCTTACAGGAATTGGTCTTACCATTGTTTCAACAATTGAAGAGGACTTTAAGTCGGACAATTCTGTACAGTAATTTACGCTGTAAAAAATGTACATGTTGTAGCATTGATTATAAAGTGCTGTATTTGTTAAGGTCCAATACCACTTCCATTTTTGTCTAGTTGTTCACTATTAAAAGAGTTTAAGTTCATTTTTGTTATGTGATATTCATTTGGGGCTTCTTGTGAGAACATTTGATATGGTTAGGAAGTCCGGGATCTGTGTGGATCGTCACTATTTTAATCCAAGTAGTCGTAATGGTCTGGTAAGTGTCACCATGGCAAACCCTACTCCTGATGAAATCGTGTGCTCTTACCTGTATCTTTAAGAATGTGATAAAAATCTTAACCCAAGGAATTAATAAAGAACAGTGGCTTTAGTAAGGAACACTTCCTCCAGCTTTTCTTCTCAAAATTCGTGAACGCTTTTTCCAAGGAAATTCCAGTGGATTCTCACTAAGTCCCCCAGAGCTCTTCCCGAAGAGGGGCCTCAACTCCCAG